GAACTGTGGCGACGCTGCCCTGGTAACATCCGCTTCCAGCGGGCGCGAAACGGCTGCGTAAAGCCCGGCTGTGTTTTATGCGCTTGACTCTTCGGGGTTATGTATTAATGCATCATCTAAATACTTGTAAATTAAACTGGTTCCACGGGGTCTCGGTCCGGCCTGCTTGTTTCTAGTTGTTGCTGTGAAGCGTTCTTGCAGTGTTAGCTCTGCTCTTCCGTTCCTGATGAAGCTCTTGGGGGCATACGGTAACACAATCCGCATGCCGTTGGCACGGGAAGGAGAGGGATAACTGGAAGGAACGTAAGTGATGTGATGGGAGAAGCAACTGTGAACTTCGGAGGAGAGATTTTTGGAAAGAGGTTTGCGCCTGCGGCGCTTGAATAGCTCAAAAGCAAAATTATTTGAAATTAAATGTGAGGATGCAGGCTGGCAGTGAAAATGGGTTTTGACAGAATTTGTGTGATTGTAGAAAAGTAAAGGGAGAAACCTAAACTTTTAGTAGTTGAATTATAATGAACGCAGTGTAGAAGACATACACTTGGTAATTTTAGGTGAGGGTGAAAAGAAGCAATAGAGTTAGAAGAGATCCCGTAATCACTTGGGTCCACCAAATACGCTGTGAAACATTAGAATATTACTTCTTTCTGCAGACCTTAAAGACTGATGTTTGTATACCAATTCTGGAAACAGTTTTTGAAAAATTGATGACCAGATGCACATAAATTTCCTTGCATAGATATGAGAGGTTTAAGTTTGACAGAGTGGAAGCTACAGGAAATTATACAGCTTTTCTGATAACAATTGTGCTAGCATAATTTTTTTCTGCTAAGAAACTTGTTTTGCATACTTTCATGGGTGCGTAACAATTATGGTATTTCATGTGATAGCTGCTTCCCTCCCATCCCCTGTTTATTAAACAAACAATCCATTTCCTTAACTTTCTTAGTCTCCATGGTTAAAGTAAGAAAACTAGAATATATGAACCGAAATAAAAGTATGTAGTCTTTAAATAGATCCTTAAGGCCTATTATTTTTAGGGGTCTGATTCTGAACTTAGAACGATCAGCAGCACTATAATAAATTGCAGAAAGACAAAAGACTGTATTCTTAAGAAGGATCATATTTTTGTGAGAAGGGAATAGTAAAATTATTCATAAATCACTAATTGAGTCATTAAAGCTCATTTGGTAAAATAATTGTCAGTTGTCCAAACAGGAGTTTGTACAGAAAAAGAAAATGTGATACATAATAACTGGCAGTTCACAGCAATGAAGACACTACCTACCTTCTTATATAAGAAAGGTTCTGTAACGTTTAAAAAAGCTGTACCTGAGAACCAGTTGGCAGTGCTTTTTTTTTGCCTTTTTTTTTTTTTTTTTTCCCTGAGGTAGAATACCTTTATTATTGAACAATATGTAAAATACACATTATGATATAAAAAGTATTTTATTTCTGGTAGACAGAGATGGAGGGAACAAGTAAAAAATAAATGTGTGTGGTTTTGTAAATGTTCTGTGGGATACTTGGTGATGGATAGACAGCTGAGATCTTGACTATAGGCCATCTCTGAAACAGGCTGCCACTTGAAACTATGGTGGTGTGTTAACCTATTGCTTGTCCACCAACATTACCTTTTGTTTGAGGTAGCTGCAACTGAAATTGCTCAAGTTCCTTTTAAAGTTTGATTGACTTTCAGGTAGACATGGCACAAATGTATTAATGCTTTAGAAAATAAGGTTGATAGTGCTGTTTCATGGTTTTGATAAGTGCTGTACTCTTGTCTTCATTTGGGAAAGTCCATGTTGAGATTTAACATGAAATTAATAATGTTGAATACAGTAGAGACATTCAGATAAAAATCATTTTAAAACATTGAGCTTTTAAAATATTGAGAAGGGAATTTGGTTCTTAAGGTAGTATGTATTTCAGAATCTTGGAGATTGAATTTCACCTCATTGCACAATAATGAAACAGTATACAGGAATACTTAAAACTTCCCACATGCTACCTTCCAAATGTGCTTCAGCTTCTGACTTGCAGATGTCATGTATAAAGAACATAATTTTCAAGGTACCAAAATCTTGACTGAGTCTAACAGACATTACAAAACTGGGTGTCAACTACACTGGTCCCTCCCATAATTTGGATGCTTCTTGGGTGTCTAGACACGAATGAGTTAGTAGTTTTCAGTTTGTGAACTCAAGAACTCTGGGATACTTCCTCAGTGTCTTCAAAAGTTGATGAAGAAAAACGGCCTGTTGTCAATAAGTTCAATTTTCAAATCGAGCCCATGGACTGAAAAAGGTTCAAAAGTAATTTCATATATTGCTGTCCAGCCAAAAGCCCTTTCAATATGTGAAAAACTTTGGTGTAGTTGAGGTTGTCAGGAATCGTGGTGGCTACTGGGCTTGAGACTTCTGTATAAATGCACCTTAATTGTAATTTTTTGGGAAAAAAGACAAAATGCTTTGCTAATGATTTTAGCGATACTTGTAATCCAGAGAAGACAGAGAAGTTTAAATTTCCTTTTAAAAGTCTATCAGCATCTCTGTTAGTTATTGGGTATTTTTATTTGGCCACGGGTTACCTTCTTGAAATTAACAAGCATTGTTTTGTAAATCCCAGGATTTATAATTCTGCAAATCTTATCCTTAGATAAAAGAGAATTGCTTTAATATCTTGTTTGCTTCATCCTTTTCAAGCCTGAACATTATAACCAAGAAATCTGTCCAAAATGAGATAAATCTGTAAATATTTTATAAATGTGGTTGACATGTACTCCTAGGAGTACAGTTTCAAAAGAAAAGAAAACCTTTTGTGGCTGCAATTTGATGCTGCTGCTGTCAGTGTGAATGAAGACAGAATCACCTGTTGTGGTTTAACCCCAGCCGGCAACTAAGCCCCATGCAGCCGCTCATTCACTCCCCCCAGTGGGGTGTGGGGGAGAATCAGAAGAGAAAAAGTGAGGAAAAACTTGTGGGTTGAGATAAAGACAGTTTAATAAGTAAAGCAAAAGCCATGCATGCAAGCAAAGCAAAACAAGGAATTAATTCATTACTTCCCGTGGGCAGGCAGGTGTCCAGCCATCTCCAGGAAAGCAAGAGCTCCATCACGTGAAATGGTTACTTGGGAAGACAAACACTGTAACTCCAAACGTCCCCCCCCTTCCTTCTTCTTCCCCAGCTTTGTATGCTGACCGTGACATCATATGGCATGGAATAGCCCTTTGGTCAGTTGGGGTCAGCTGTCCCAGCCATGTCTCCTCCCAGATTTTTGTGCGCTCCCAGCTTCCTCGCTGGCAGGGTGGCGCGTGGAGCGGAAGAGGCCTTGACTCTGTCTAAGTACTGCTCAGCAATAACTGAAACATCCCTGTATTATCAACACTGTTTCCAGCACGAATCCAAAATGCAGCCCCACACTTGCTAGTATGAAGAAAATGAACTACCCCAGCCAAAACCAGCATGTCACCTCACATCCGATGATGTAGACAGCAGTGGCAACAGAGAAAAAGCAGCACTGTTACACCTGTCACTAAACTTTCCAAATACAACTTTAAATGCATCTGGTAACTGCAATTGTTAGAACAATGAAAGAGCAGTCTTAAAGTTGAACCTTGTTTGAATTGGCTCTTCAGTTTCTAATAAGTTCTTCTCCCATCTCTTACAATTTAGAATTTAGGTTATTGATGTCCCCACTTTATAGACAACCATTATTTTTCTCTTCTGCTTTTTTTTTTTTTCCCCTTTTTTTTTTTAATCACTGTTGTTGTGGTATCTGTAGGAGGGACAAGTGCCCTGATTTCAAAATAATTATGACTTTGTATGTATAAAAACTTTCTGCAACCAGACTTTCACTAGGATAGCTCCAGACCCTTCTTTTGTCACTGAGGCACATTTGGGTGATCTCCAAAAGAAAACTGTTGATTGTGTTGTAACTAGGTCATGGGATGAATTCTCTTCTAAGTGGTTTTGCTGATATGCCTAGATGTGTTGTCTTAGACAACTGCAAGAACATTTATCCTTATTCCTAGTGTTGTTTAAAACATATATTCTGTGGGATGTTT